ACCCAGGAGTCAAGCTAGAATGTGAATCAGGTTACTGAGCAGGACCAATCCTCTCCACCCAGGAGTCAAGCTAGAATGTGAATCAGGTTACTGAGTGGGACCAATCCTCTCCACTCAGGAGTCAAGCTAGAATGTTATCAGGTCACTGAGTGGGACCAATCCTCTCCACTCAGGAGACAAGCAAGAATGTGAATCAGGTTACTGAGCGGGACCAATCCTCTCCACCCAGGAGTCAAGCTAGAATGTTAATCAGATTACTGAATGGGACCAATCCTCTCTACCCAGGAGTTAAGCTAGAGTTTTAATCAGGTTACCGAGTGGAACCAATCCTCTGGTTTCCCTCCTGTCTTCAAACAAGTCCACAACCTAACCCCTCCCTGATTCTGACTCCATATAAATTTGCATTGCCCTGTATTTGGGGCTCTGAATGTGGAGAAGCTAGCTCCTCTGAGCCAGCTGGCTTAATAAAATCTGAAACTGTTTTTCATCTCTCTGAGTGTCCTCAGTTTCTTCAACGACAGATCAAGAGCTGCTATGACACTCTTGAATGTAAAACTATTGTAATATTTCAATACATCATTCTGCTACATTTTTTATATATTAAAAAAAAACTGTATCTGGAGGAAAAGAAACAGGAATACGAGACTTGTCACCAAAACGCACTGCCATCTCGAGTCGGCTTCCACTCATAACAACCCCACATAGGACAGAGTCGGGGAATTGCTCTTAGGATTTCCAAGATGGCCCTTCTTTCTGGAAGCAGACAGCCTCATCTTTCTCCCACACAGCAGCTGCTGGGTTTGAACCACTCTCTTTGACTGATGTCTAATCCATGGTATCACCAAGGCTCCTTCTGGGAGCTGCAAAAAGAATAAATAAGTAAATAAATTCATGGGAGCCAATTTGCTATTTTATCTCTATACCATATGCGTTTATAGCTTGCCTAAAACATTTTGGAAATAGCATTAAGACATGTACAAAGAATGGGGGCCCCTGGCAGTGGCAGATGGTTAACAAACTTGGCTGCTAAGCAAAATACTGGAGTATTTGTGTTCTTTCAGAGAGACCTCAGAATAAAGGCTTCCAAAAAAAAAGCAGCAACTGAAAACCGTGTGGAGTGAGGTTCCACTCTGACAAACACGGGGCACCATGATGTGTCTGACCCAAGCCATGAGATTTTCAATCACCTCATATACAAGTGAAAGTTGGACAGTGAATAAGGAAGACTGGAGAAAAACTGATGCATTTGAGTTCTGGTATTGGAGGAGAAATATTAAAAGTACCACAGACTGCCAAAAGAACAAACCAATCTGTGTTGGATGAAGTACAGTCAGAATGCTTCTTAGAAGCCAGGATGGCCAGACTTTGTGTCTCATACTTTGGATATATTATCAGGAGGGACCAGTTCCTGGAGAAGGACATCATGGTTGGTAAAGTGGAAGGTCAGGAAGAAAGAGGAAGACCGCCAATGAGATGGGTTGGCACAGGGGCAGCAGTGATGGGCTCAAACATAACAATGATTGTGACTGGTCAGTGTTCCATTCTGTTGTTCACAGAGTCACTATGAGTCAGAACCAACTTGCCAGCAACTAATAAACAAAACATAAATACAGGTCACATTCTGACATCAAGGACGCTCACAAGATCAAAATCAGAATACTACCCAATTGTGTAAAGTTTTGAACAGAAAAGCTCTTCCTTGTGGATTGTTCCAGAATCCTAAAGCACACTTGTGTGGTTGGGTTTAAGATGCTCTTTGATGTTGAGTGGTTCCAACCTATGTCCCTACCACAATGGGCTCAACCATGGCAACCATTGTGAGGGGAGTGCAGGACTGGGCAGTGTTTTGTTTGTGGTACAAGTTGTCGTTGTGCATCACGACCAACCCAATGGCCACTAAGTAGAGCAGCCTCTCCTCTTTGCAGGACAGATCCTGGACAGTTTGAACAAGGAAGGTGTGGCCAACAGGACTCTTGTTTACTTTACATCGGATCACGGTGGGTCTCTGGAATCCCAAGTTGGGAACCAACAGTATGGCGGCTGGAACGGGATATACAAAGGTGAGGATCAAAGATACCAGACCCAAGTCTCCAGGTTTTCTGAGTTTCCGGAGCCCTGGTGTGGCCCCATGGGATAAAGCACAAGGTCGGTGGTTCAAACCCACCAGCCGCTCCTTGGAAACCCTAGATAAGGTTGCAATGAGTTGGAACGAACTCGATAGAACCTAACAACAACAGAATTGCCAACCCAATATTGGGAAGCAAATGTCAACTCAAAAGTGCTGTTTAGTCAAATCTGACTGATAGCAACCCTGTATAGGGTTTCCAAGGAACTGCTGGTGAGTTTGAACTGCCTTGTGCTTTAAAGTCCAATACTTCTCCCATAGCGCCACACCAGGAGTCCAGCCCATAAAATAGACCCAAGAGGAGCATGTTCCTTAGAACACTTCATTCTATGAGATCAAAAGGACAGCATTTGCCCAAAAGCAAAGACCGGAAGTCAGGAAAGAAAGGAAAATACAGAAGGAAAGAAACGTGAACTTAGATCAGAAACAGGGAGAATACTGACCCCTTGTGGGGAATGTACGAACTTCATGAGATGGGAAACGCGTTTGCTCCGTCAACTTTTACCTAAAGCACAATTTAAATTTTTTTAAAAATGAGTAATAGGGGGATAGAAATATTAGCAAACAGATAGTGATTGAAGACTATGATGAACGTAATATGATGATTGAAAACTATGATGAAGGTCGTTGAATTGTACAACTATAGCAAGTTGGAGTGGCAGGCGGTTGGTTACGTATTTATCCATCACAGTTAAAACCCAGAAAGGTCTCATCTGATGTGTAATCGTGTCTTTTTCTGTTGCTACTGTAACAAAGGAGGCAAAGGCATGGGCGGTTGGGAAGGAGGTATCCGGGTCCCCGGGATCTTCTGGTGGCCGGATGTACTGCCGGCCGGACAGCTGATCCACGAACCAACCAGTCTGATGGATATTTTCCCCATGGTGGTCCATCTGGGAGGCGGCCAGCTGCCTCAGGACAGGTACATGAGGGTAGGGACCACCCTCTCCTGAGTCTCTGAGAACAATCCTTCACGATTTTCATAGTTAGGCACCGAAGCCATACAGCACTGTGAGACTATTCCATCAATTCTGATGATTTTAAATATGCTGACACCAATTTCCCAGTTATTTTCCACTGCTGGCGCCCCCGTGTGTGGAAAAGTAAAAGTTCGTTCCATAGCGTTGTCAGTGGCTAGTTCTTTGGACATAGATAACCAGGTCTTTCTTCCACCTCTGGATGGAAGAAGACTTTCCGCTTCTTTCTCCCACGGAGCGGAGGATGGGTTTGAACTGCTGACCTTTTGGTTAGCGCTTTAAGCAGCGTGCTCCAGGGCTCCTAACATACACATTGCAGTATTATAGAGTTGAATCTAACTCATAGCAACCCTATATAGGGTTTCTGAAATTTTTCAATCATTACAGCAGTGGACAGCCTCATCTTTCTCCCTTGGAGCAGCTGGCGAGTTTGAACCACCAACTTTGCAGTTTGCAGCCCAGTGCCTAGCTCACAGAGACAGCAGGGATCCTTAACACACCCTTTTAGGGGACTCCGAGCAATGTACAATATCATCTAGTTTCAGACCCCAACCACCCACTCCTGTGGGCGAGCCAAAAGGAACTGGCCCCCTTGCCTGGGGTCTGGTGTAGCGTCGGGCATCAGTGCCCTTTTCCGTCCTGAGACCCCCACACTAATGCCCACAGAGTCACAGACGGCCGGGACCTAACCGCCTTGCTGCTCGGAGCCACGGCACGCTCCAACCACGAGTTCCTGATGCATTATTGTGAGGGGGTTCTGCACGCAGTCCGCTGGCACCAGAGGAGCAGTGAGTAGGGAGCTGCGCCCAGGGACCCCAGGGGAGTGCCCACCTGGCCGAGGGACCTGAGGAAACTGTGCTTCTCATTGCATTCTTCGGTTGTTTCTTCCTCTCCCTCCTGCATCATCCTTTCCAGCAATCTGTCAATCATGTGGGTGTGGCCTCGGTGGGGTGGAGAGAGGAGGTCAGTCTCCAGACAGCATCACTGATGGGATTGGAATTGTTCCTCTCTCCTGCTTCCCATCATGGTGGGGTGAGAGCTCCTACCGTGACACACCCACCCACACATCTATACCTAACTGGACTGGTCAGACTTTCTGCTTTCACTGATCTCTGTTTTAAGAGTCCAGCTCCTAAGTATTTGCTTTTAACATCTCTGGTTTTGAACTTTGATGGATTTCTGCTTCTGCTTTTGTCTTCTGATAACATTCGTTCACTAATGAGTCGCTTGCACTTCACGTTATCTGTTGGGATCCTACAATAGTTTCTGTTTTGTGTCTGGCTAATTTCGGTCAGCATCTCATTGTACAGGTTAATCCATGTGGTGGTGTGGCTCAGGATCTCATTTCTTTTTCATGACTGAGTAATACTCCATTGTGTAGATGGACCACATTGTGTGTATCCATCTTCTGCTGATGGACACTTGGGTTGTTTCTTTTTCATGACTGAGTAATACTCTATGGTATGAGCAGACCACATTGTGTGTATCAATCATGTGTGGATGGACACTTGGGTTGTTTTTTTTAATGACTCAGTAATACTCCATCATGTGGCTGCACTACATACACTGTTTGTCCATCATCTGTTGATGGACACTTGGGTTTTTCCTCTTTATACCTGAGTAATTCTCCGTTGTGTGGATGGACCACATTGTGCTTATCCATCATCTGTTGATGGACACTTGGGTTGTTTCTTTTCATGACTGAGTAATACTCCATTTTTTGGATGGACCACATTGTGTTTATCCCATCGTCTATAGATGGACACTTGGTTTGTTCTTTTTTGCTTTGCTATGTTGTTAAATGTTATTGAGTCCGTTCTGACTCATAACAACCCTGTATAGGGTTTGTGAGGAACAGCTGGTGAGTTTGAAGCACTGACCTTACGGTTCAAACTGACCTTGTGGTCTAGTTCTTATCCTACAGCCCCACCCCAGGACTCAGTTTCTTTTTTATGGGTGAGTAATAGTTCATTATACTTATGGACCCCATTGTGTTTATCAATCAATTGATAGTCTGTTTTTTGTTACTGAGTAATACTCCATTGAATAGATGAACCATATTGTGTTTATTCATCATCTATTGATTGATACTTGGCCTGTTCCATTTTTATGGCTGAGTAGTATTCTATTCTATGGGTGGAACCCATTGTATGCATGGACTAACTGTATTTATCCATCATCTGTTGATGCGTACCTAGATTAATTGTTTTTCATGCCTGAATAATACTCTATGCTATGGGTGGACCACACTGTGCATCTCCATCATCTGTGGATGGACACTTGGGTTGTTCCTCTTTACGACTGAGTAATAAATACTGCATTGTGTATGTGGATCACATTGCCTGTAGCTATCATCTGTGGATGGACACTTGGGTTGTTTCTTCTTTATGACTTGAATAATACTCCATTGTGTGTCTCCTTCATCTATGGATGGACACTTGGGTTGTTCGTCTTTACGACTGAGTATTAAATACTCCATTGTGTAGGTGGATCACATTGTTGATGGTGCTGTAGATGTTGTCGTCTGTTGATGGACACTTGGGCTGTTCTCTTTATGACTAATAAATACTCCATTGTGTGAGTGGACCACATTGTATGTCTCCATATCTGTATGTAGATGACACGTGGGTTGTTCCTCTTTACCACTGAGTAGTAAATACTGCATTGTGTATGTGGATCACATTGCCTGTAGCCATCATCTGTGGATGGACACTTGGGTTGTTTAACTTTGATAGCTGTGTAATACTCCATTGTGTGGAAGAACTACACTGTGTTTGTCCATCATCTGTTAATGAGTATCTAGATTACTTCTTTTTCGTGACTGAGTCATACTCTATTGTGTCGCTGGACCCATCCTCTGTTGATGGGCAATGGGTTGCTTCCACCTCTTGGCTGTTGTGAATGGTCCTGCGACCCAACAACACCCCTTTTTTTTTTGTCTCTGTCACCCTCTGCATCTCTTCATTTGTGCTTCTTTTTCCCAGGAGGGACTATTTGGAAAGTTCATTTTAAGACCCCCAAGTTCCACCCGGAGGGCGCCGGTGCCTGCTATGGCAGAGGAGTCTGCCCATGCTCCACGCCAGAGGTCACTCAGCACGACCCACCGCTGCTCTTTGATCTCTCCCGGGACCCTTCAGAGGTCCATCCACTCACCCCGGCCACGGAGCCTTTGTTCCACGAGGTCTTGGATCGGGTGTCCCAGGCTGTGGAGGAACACCAGCTGACACTCACCCCGGTGCCTCTGCAATTGGACACGCTGGACAACATCTGGAAACCCTGGCTCCAGCCATGCTGTGGCTTCTTCCCCCTGTGCCGATGCAATCGAGAAGACGACCGAGAATAAATATCAGCCAGCAGAAGTGGACCCCATTGCTGGGTTTCTCTTAGGGATTGAATTGTGTGCCCCTATAGAGTCCTGGGGTGGCACTGTGGGTGGATGCCATAGACTGCAAAGTCAGTTTGAGCTGCAAGGTTGGTGGTTCAAGCTCACCAGTCGCTCTTTGGAAACCCTCTAGAGGGTCGCTGTGAGTCAAAACTGACTCGACATAGCCCTTATATCCATGGATTCATGACGGCCCCGGAAGTGTCAGAGTAGAACTGTGCCCCATAGGATGTTCAAGAAGGCTGGGACTTTGTGGAAGTAGGTGGTTGGGTTTTTTCTTCAAAGGAGCCTGCAGGTGAGTTTGAACCACCAACCGAAAACCACCAACCAAAAGCATTTACACTTTTTCAGCACACACAGTGTTCCCCTGAGTCACATTCAACTCACTGTCGCTGACTACCAAAATGACTGATGTACAGATGTGATCAGATTTGGGAAGAAGGTTTTCTTTGTTATGTGACCCAGGTTATGTTGGCATGGGGACTGTCGTACATCCTAGTCACTTTTGAGAAATAAAAAGAGCAGATTAGACAGAGACAGGGGCTGCAGAACTGTGGATTCTGACTGACACACGCTGACACTTTCTCAGGCTGTAAATCAGTTTGGTTTCTTTTTAACGCTTTTATTATGAATTGAGTGAAGGTTCACAGAACAGATCATCAGTTTTACACTCAACCAATAAGGTGGAGGCTCAGAGAAAAAGTGGAAGACCCCCAACGAGATGAGATGGATTGGCCAAGTGGCAGCATCGATGGACTCAAGCGTGGCAACCGTAGTGAGGTTGGCCCAGGATTGGGCAGTGTTTCGTTCTGCTGTGCATAAGGTCACTATGGGTCAGTACCGACTCAATGGCACCTAACAACAACAACAACATTCACCAACAGCTCACAGCATTGGGGCTTTATGGCCGGCAGAGCATCAGTGGACCAATGCCCCAAATGCTGAGCTCCCCGATACAGCTTTGGTTCGTACTAGCTTTATACAGCATTACATGGGCTGAGTGGTGAGACCACCGTGGTTCTCTCTCATTGGCAGCGGTTCCTAGACAGATACTTTTTACAAAAGCAGAAGTTCTTAGTTTCCTTTGTGTGTGACCTAAGCCTCAGGGCCTTATGGGAGTGCCCTCCTCCCTCTTGTATACTGCCCCCTTGTCACCCATGTTAACATGAACAATTTTCCCTCCCTTCCCCACCCCCATCACAGGTTGATTTACTGTGAATTGAGTGATGGTTTACAAGGGAGAACATCGGGTTTGCACTCAACCTATCATATTTTGTTTCATTGCAACGATTCCAATCCCCTCCATGCATCATCATTCGACAGTATTTGCCTCAATTTCCACCACCACCCCCTTTTTTTTTCTTGTACACAGAAACATGCAGGGATATATAATCATGTAAACAAGCAAAGGGTGCTTTAAATCTTTATAGGAGGAGAAAGCCTCATCTTGCTCAAAGGTGTTTGAGGATCCAGAAAAACCTGTTTCCAAATCAGCCCCCAGAGGCACGGAGATCCTGGGATTAGAGGGGATGAAGGAGAGAGGCGGGGTCCTGGTGTAGCTTTGTGAGTTAATGTGCCTGACAACAGCTCAACAACCTGCACAGGGTCACTATGGGTCAGAACCAACCGACTCAATGGCACTTAACTGTGAGCAACGTCCATACCCTGATTATTGACAAACGCGCAAGAAATCCAATATGTACTCATTTTAGCAAGAATAAGGTTTCCTTCATTCGATTGTGTAAAATCTGGCGCCCAACCCAGTTGTTACTGGCAAACTTGAGGCCTGCCCTGCTCGCAAAGAGTTTTACTCCCTTATCCGGAGAATATTAAAAGTACCATGGGCTGCCAAAAGAACCAACAGATTCATGTTGGAAGAAGTACAGCCAGAGTGCTCCTTGGAGGCCAGGATGGCCAAACAAAATATGTCTCTCATACTTTGGACATATTGTTAGAAGGGACCAGTCACTGGAGAAGGATATCATGTTTGGTAAGGTGGAGGGTCAGAGAAAAAGAGGAAGACCCCCCAGCGAGGTGGATTGGCCCAGTAGCTCAGCAATGGTTGTGAGGTTGACCCAGGACCGGGCACTGTTTCTCATTCTGTTGTGCATAGGGTCCTATGAGCCGGTACTGACTCATGGCACCTAACAACAACATCTAGAGAAAGCCCCTCCTCCGGTTCCCCTTTTACTGCACTTTTCAGTCTACCCAGAATGTTCCTACTAGTCCTTTCTGGGAGCATTCTCATTTAAACTTAGTTTCCCCCTTTTCCCATGGACTTCCCCTATGTCCTTGGTGGGTGTATTCTTATTCTAAAACTTCAAGCCAATCAAACTAGTCTTCCTGTCCCCTGAGCTCCTTTTGTGACACTAGTTTGCTACCCCCAAGACTCCCCTTATTCCTGAAGATGGACCACCCCAAGATCTTCTTCTCACACAACAAGAGAGGCGCCCCAAAACACTGGTTTCTCAGCCCCTGGTGGGCAGGCAGAGGGCATTGTAGGATAAAATCGGGACTAGGGCCTGAGCAGGCGGCCTTCCCGCCGGATCCACAGCGCAGATGGTAGCTCGCAGAGAGTGGAGCGGTGCGCAACGCTTGCTCCCAGGTGCAGGGACCCAGGACGCAGCCAGACCCGAACACGGAGGGTAGCGGGACCCAGGGGAGGAGAGGGACTAAGAAGTGCCCAGTCCTGCGCGGCGATCCGCCCCCCACCTACCCCTTGAGTCATCAGCCCCTTTGCCCTTGCTCCCCTTCAGCCCCGTTTGGCCCCCCTAATTCGCCAGGACACGCCCAGTCCTCCAGTTCCCCACCTCAGACCGCGGGACCCCACCATCACCAAGTCCCGGCCCCACCACCTGAATGAAAGCTGTGACGCCCCTCCCACTCCACCCTATAAGGCGATGTGACCCTGCCCCTCCCCCTGTATGGCGGTATGAGCCTCCCACCCCGAGAACCTGCCCTAGCCTCTCCCCGCCCTCACATCCCCGTCGTGGGCCGAGACCCTTGGGTGCTGTCCGGCTGGGGCGCGATTAAGGACTCGGAGGGGGCGGGGGAGCCCTGCTGGGGTCCCCGGGACGCATTGCACACTGCAGACCCGAGTCAGGATCCAGACCCGGGTGGCTGCGAGCGCTCCTTCCGGGTCTGCCCCTTTGGGGCGGGGAAGCTTTGGGTCCGGCCCGGGGCGCTCGGAAGGCCCTTTGGGGCGCACGCTCTCTCGCCTCCCTGGAAACGATCGGTTTCAAGCTGCGCTCGGAATCCTGGCCTTAAACGTTTTCACAAAAAAACTCTGGGTAGCTGGTTTCTAGGGGCATCTCTATCCCCTAGAGTATCGATTCCAAATGTAAGTCACCCTTCTTCCCGGACTCGGGGGGGCCCAGTCCCAACAGGGTGCAGCGGGAGCCACTGGGGGAGGGGGTCTGCCGCCTAACCTAAGGGGATCCACAAAGACCCCAAACTCGAACAGACCGAGACTTTAAACGAGAGTGCTGAAGTTACTGGGGGGGGGGGGGGGGG